CACACACACACACACACACTACTACTACTATACTATATATATATACACGCACACACACACACACACACACACACACACACACACATATATATATATATTTATATATTGTACCCATACACTTACTGTCTCGAGATGCTCAAATAAATGATCAGTAACCAAGTGACGTTTCCAAGTCAGAAACGCAATAGCGGGCCTCCCCATCTTCAGAGCCACACAGATCTGATCCGCCAGAGATTCACACCTGAACGTTTCGTGCCACACGCGGCATTGTGTGTCTTCCTCCGCGATAGTCATGGCGTAGGTTTCAAATCTATGTCGCATCTGTGTTGTTAGTGTATGTGGTAAATGAGTTATACATTGATGGTCATAGCGTAGGTTTCGAACCTATGTCACATCTGTGGTGTATGTGTATTACATGTACTTTTAAAAATGGTTATGAGCTAGTTGTGAAAGCTGTACGTAATATGTGTTGTATGTATGTGGTATAAGCGACATACATGATTGTCATGGCGTAGGTTTCGAATCTATGTCGAATCTGTGTTGTATGTAGAATATACGCGTTTCAATTAATGGTTATGGACTAGCTGCAGGAGCTGTAATCTATCCGAGTTGTATGCATGTGTTGTATATGTATGCGTTGTACAATATGGCGATGGTCTAGGCTTCGAGTCTATGCCGTATATGTGCGGTATGTATATGGGTATGTGCGTTGCACATTTGGTCATGGACTATGTTTCAAAGTTGTGGTGTATGCCGGTGTGGGACAGGTATCCTATGTGGTGGCATATGACTAGTTTTCAAACCTGCATGTATTCTGTGTTGTATATCTGTGTGATTTATGCGATTCAGGGTTGGACATGGTGTAGGTATCGAGTATGTTAGCCATCTGAACTGTATGTCTGTGAAGTATAATTACAATCCCAATCATTTGCATCTATATATTGCTGCGAGCATACTTTGCAATGCCTATTACTTAAAGTAGTGTATATACAAGAACGGGTTCATCAATCTCGCGCTGCCTTTTGTTGGGTTCCAGAACCAGTCCCCTGCACCAAGGTCAAGGTAAATTGCACCATCGCACACGGACCAGACACAATTCTCGATACGTATAGATGAAGTGCATAAGAAACGCAAATATATCGCTTTCCTAGATATAATACGATGAACGTTGTTATCTTGACTGATAAAACGAAGATAAAATAGTATAGAAACGCAGATCGGTTGACGTTGCAAGCGTATAAGTGACATATGATCAACTAGATTAACCAGATATAGTAGAATAACCGCATATGCTATAACTGATAGCTACAGACCAATCGACTGTGAGTGTTCAAGCTAAGGTGCCTGATATATGTCCGCAGATAACCGAACTGGTACACACGTACTCACCCGCAAGACTCGGCTATGTAGCCGCTTGTGCATTGTTGACAGGTACTTAGACACACTGGTGCCCTGACTGGTTTCCGCATCCATTCTCGCCACACCGTAGTCGATAAGACGGCGCGTGATGGTAAAGGATTTCAGCTCAGAAGTCAAGCAGATATCGATCACCGCCTGCAAGTCCTTCATCTGGCTCAGACACTCGATCAGCTGGACGAATGCAGATTCTGTGAGGTGTGAAGATATTTTAGGCCAATGTATAAGCAAGCTGGTATAGACTATCCCGTGTATTTTTTTTGGAGTACACTGAAAACGTAGGAAGGTGGTACAGTGTTCACGTGCCGTGGCATATGTTTGAGCCTTTCAGCTCGGCATGCGTTTTTCAGCTAACTATGAATTGGCATATATATTGGTATTTTTCATATAATCTACCTTGCGCTTCATCTTCTCCCCCGTCGTTGACACGGTTCAGCAGAAACGCGGCTTGTGTCGAGTACACGAGACCCAGATCCAAACTATGCCGTGTGGCGTATGTAACGGCCACGGCGAAGTCATGTTTGCTAAGCAGATGATACAGCAGCGATGCCGGCTGCGACTGTGTAAGTCGGCGTACATAATTTTGGGATAGTGTGTTCGTATGAGCAGGTATGTTCTTTTGCTCAAGAGTCGGGGTTGAGTTTGGGTTTGGGGTTGTCTCTGGGTCTCTGGTTGACGGTATTGTTCTCTCGACTGGAGAAATGTTGGAGTGGGAATCGGTTGAAGAGGTGTGGACGGCAATCTCGGAGGGGACCATATATACTATGGTGTTTTGGGGTTCTGCCCACGAAAAATAACATAAACAAGATTTTAGTTTCTGATGCATGATTGTACTGATATATATTTGGAGCAACAGCAGAGTGGGAACAAGGATGCAAAATGCAATTGCAAGGAATGCTGCATATCAAGCAGCTGGTCTAATCGATCAAGCGAGGTCACGGTGATAAACACTCCTGCAGACGCCCTAAAAAATGGACACATACTCTTCATTTGTCATTGCGGATTTCAGAAACTAAACCCCGAACACAACATTTAATGCTTACACAAAACAGAACGTTCGAGCTTTTCACAGCCGCGCCATACCGTTTGAAACTGCGACATTAGGCTCCCCTCCAGTTCCCATATCCACAGCGAACATCTTCTTATTGGACGGCAACGATACGATTTGCAGCGATTGTGCATTGCCACTACCACTTTCCACTCTGTTTGTCGAGGGATGAGCTATATTGTTGTCCTCGGTGGGGTTGCTCACCACGAGAACCACCCGAATATCTCGTATGTGATCAGAGGTGCTCGTAAGGAGAGAGAACATGCGTACACCTGGTACGTCCCATCGATAGAGAGTCACCAGACTGGCCGGGGTGTGTATCGAGATTCAAGTGTGTGATAAAAAGGTGTAAATGAATAGGGTGTGTAAGATCCGCAATAGATGGAGGCACAATATAAGTGAAATATAAGGATTGTGGTGGTTGTGTTTCATCAGACTGTCCACGTGTGTGATGGATGGAGAGATGCAGTGCATAGGATGTTATGAATGATAACTACTTGAAGGCATAGTATAGGCGAAACACAAGGTTTGTAGTAGTTATCGAGATCAAGAACATGCCAATACCATTTAGATCCCATCGATAGAGAACCATCAGACTGGCCAGGTGCATTGCAGTAAGAGTACGAGATGAAGACGGGAAATGCTTAGTGCGAGTCAAACCAGAAAAACTGAAGAGACAGGATGCAGCAGAAACCTATGCTTGGGCAGAACTATACGAATGTTTCGTCCGTGGATAGCGGGAGTTGCTATGGGAAAAGAGAACACGCTAAAATGTCCATGGATTTCAATGCTTGATAATACCTACGATACGATGGTACAAGGACGGATCACTCGATTGATATTTTTGCTCATGTATGAAGGTCACAGCTGAAGTGCACAACATAGATATCAAATCGCCTGTATATTAAGAAATTGGTTGCACCGATGCTTGCAAACGTCTACATTAAACCTTCGTACATATATCAACACAGAATATCGTGGTTAATTTGTTGTACCGATGCTTGCACATATATACGTTAAAACTTCATACATATACAATAAAAGCAGCATATCATGGTTGAGCAAGTGAAACATACGTGTCTGCGTCCCATAAAGACATGAAGTTCGCCTTGTGGCGCGCAACTATGTACTTGTTTCTCGGTGTCAACTCGATCTGAACCATCACCATATCATCCTCTTCCCTGCTGACAGCATAATCCAACATGCCCATCTGGCCATCACGCACTGCCCACTTCGACAGACCTGATGATATTTTGAGAAAAAAGATACTATACTATTGGTATACATAGTTGGCTTACATTCTTACCATTTAAGGCATCATTGGCTTGCCACGCAGTTGGATGTTGATACAGGCACAGTCGTGTGGGCGCTTGCATCAAAATTGCTCCACACCATCCAACCGCAAACTATACTTAAGTAATTCCACTCATGGATATCAGCCACACACACAACACACACACACCACAGACACAGACACAGACACACAACATACACAACACACACACAACATACACACACACACACACAACATACACGCACACACACAACATACACGCACACACAAACGAACACCCACCCATAGTCACACCCACAGTAACACCGACCCCCCACACACCCACACCCACCCATACACACACACACACACACACACACACACACACATATATATATATATATAATAAGTGCACAAGCTCATACATCATAATTTTAAAAGCAGCGGAGAGCACACCACGACATCGAATTGCGTGCAGTTGAAACATCAAGTATGTACGCATCCCGACCAGGAATTTGTTTAAGTGTAAGGCGTAAATTACGTGATATCGTCTTCAACTATCTGTTGATGTGCTTATCATTGCGTAGTATATCATTCCCGACTAGAAACACCTTTATAAATTGTGTGTATTCCATACGATATGATAAAGCCCGTCCAACTTGAAATATGTGTTGATGCGTGTTTAAATTTAATGACAGACCTTCCGCAACTAAAGGTACCTGTTTAATTGTATTGCAAATAGCGAGACACCCCATCTTCCAACAAGAATTACTTATCCTCGTTTCTTCCATACACCAAGTCAAACCTTTACTAACAAACTAGTTTTGCTTCTGCATGTCTGATTCACATGGTGAGACATACCTTTTCCAACCAGAAAGACTTGTTGTTGTCTACTAGCTGTAGCGGGCACTAATGTACCAGATCTAAGAGACGCTACACGCATATCACACACTCCCGCATCGCCGTGTGTTTGCCATCCGTCAAAAGAATCGACTATAATCCTATCTCTGATCTGAGAGGGAATAAAAAACAGTATTATTGTACGTGCATAACTACATTGTGTATTGATATCAGTCCATTTGCGAATACACTAACCAGATATCCACATGCATGATAGCGGGTATACGAGCGTATCTGTCGTATGTCGTCTGTACCAGTTATAATACGGTCCCTGAGCTACAATAGTACAATGGCTTATATATGTCTCAGGATCAGTACATTTGCGAATATGGTGAACAGAAAAGAATGGCGAATTGACGAGTGTATGCGCTGCCTTCGTAGCAACCAAAAATTAAACGGCCGTTGAGTTTTAAGGGCTCATACAACAGTATCAGTGTACTTGAAAATACACGGTCAGAATCCAGACACACAGTGAAGGGTGTACGAGCATCATTGCTGATAGTCGTGAGCATCGAGAGGTATAAATGAAAGTTACTCACCGGAAGACCGAGAACGAAGAAAGTATTTGTGCCAATCCAGGCTACTGTACCCAGATTTTAGAGCGAGTAGACCTATTTTCATCAATATAAGCTGCTGCCCATGCATTCCAGACAAATCTATCCATACATACATATTTGCATACACACACACACATACACACACACACACACAGAGAGACATAGAGACACAGACACAGACATATATATATATATATATATTAAAGTTTTGAAACTTATTTTTGGATTTGGGCTTGCTTT